TCTAAGAAGAAAAAAAACCAACCGAGCTTCCAACTTAAGTCATCTCTTGGTTATGAGCGTGACGTTCTATAGACACATAAAGCTTTAGTCTAGAAGCACATGAAAAAATGGCGGTACAAACGATTGTAATAATGACAGTGTGCAAGAGACAGGCATCCTAACGGTTAAAAACTTCACTTTGCCCTTCAGTCTAAACCTTACAAAGTAGGCCTTGCTGAAATACAGCGAATTAGTTGCTGAATCCTTGGTTACCCCCTTTCCTCAGTGCATATAAAACCGCAGCTGATTGCTTCAGAGCCTTTCTAGACATATCATCCGAAACACCTAGATAGTCATGACCAAAAAACCTTGATTCACTTAGAATCATTAGCACCTCAGATCGGATCAAAACTTTTCTAAGTTGTAGAACTCATACGATTAGCGGTAGCTTTTAAACATATGCTTTATTGAAACAGCGTCGGAGGGGACGGTAGTCATCGTTTGCATGAATGCTTCACAAATTGCTTTCAGGTGCATATCGATATGGCTGTGGCTGACGACTATGAATCGTAAATGGTATTATAACAAGAAGCAGTGTTTCCTTTGACATAGAGGCGATAAATGCTAAGGGTTACTCAGCAACTATCAAGAAACATAACATATTCGATTGACGAATTTGTCGTACAGATGTACCACTCTAAAATTTAGTGAACATTGCCAATCAGGGGCGACTGTAACGGTTCAGGCAACCGGCGAAGAAGCTCACTGACTTCAAGGGAGATCACTGATTTGGGAGCAAAAGTAGCTGTTTTATCTTGCCATCTGTTTCTGGAAGATTGATATTTTAAAACCAAACGAACAGATTAAATATAAACGCAAGCCACAACATTCGGGTCATGGCCAAAAGTCACACTTCTGGCTGACGGCGGCACGGTGCTTTTGGGTGCATGCCGATCTGCTGCTCTTGCGTTAAGAAGAACAAATAAAAATACGGTATTCATTGTTTGGATACAAATGGTTGATTTCTGTTGAAGCACAGGGCATAGAAGGTTACTACGTGACTTTTGTTTTACCGCAGAGGAATGACATTTTGAAATGAAACCTTCGAGTACATCTCTTTTTCACATTTGAATAATCACGCAATTCGTCAAATTACTTGAGGTTCATAACTTTCGACCAGACACTTGAGAAAATCCACTTTAAGTTTCAGGTCAAAGGTTTTTACCAGAAGTGAGAATAGCATAAATGACGCATCGTCTCTGCCTGGAACGTTCAGGTAAACACTTCTTGTGCAGTTGCTCTTTAGACCCTGTTTACTTAGCTTAGAAACAGTTATTGCCAAGCAGTGCTCTGTCGTCGTCATCTTTCACGCGTGGTCAACGTTAGGACCGCTGTGTAAATGACGCAATGCGGTCTCTGGCAGTGGCCATGGATTACTGTAGATAATTAGATACTCACTGGCTACTCAGGAGAATAACAGAGAAGGACTGTTGCTCAAGAGAAAGTTTCTTGAAATGCCTGAGTGCAAAATCTGTTTTCACAATAGAAGTTATGTAGTAATGAATTTAAACAGCCATTCCCAAATTATATGATAAAACGGTTTCTTTACGTCTAATGTGAGTAGTTTGTTGACGCTAAATAGGTGATTGTCTAAAAGACCACGTAGACGAAAAGCATCGAAACATATCACAAAATAGTGAAACACTATGAATGTTCCAGGAAAAACAGAGAAGTTGAAAGGTCCATAAAGTCTAATGACCATAATCGTTGTACTTCGTAGCCTATAAAAGAAACAGTGGAAAGTTCGTAACCGCTGAAATATCGACAGTTCTTGCACTTTCATCATGGCCCATTCTGACACCCCGTTGTTCATGAAGTCAATGCAGGGGGCACTGACCTCCATCTTC